AATTTAGAAAATAATGATACAAATACCTCATCAATAAATGATGCCATTCCTCTTTCACAATCATCTTCAAGTGTTATTAATCCTTTAGATGAGACAACCATTGTTCGTGCAAAAAAAAATAATGAAAGGATAGAAAGAGCCTGTAAGCGTCAAGCATTAGCTCTTGGTTCTTCCTCTGAAGAAGTCCATTATGGAGTATATGTTCAACCAGAAGGAATAGATATGGATCCACAATCAGCTCAAGCACTTCTTATAAAATATCAATCAACTAAAAATGAAATTTATTCATTAAAAAAAAAATTTAAAAAATTAATGGAAAATTTAGAACAATTAAAGGTTGTAATTGCTGATCCTATGGAATTAGAACCTGAAGATAGAGAATTGGAAAATGAAGAAGAATTAAATGCTGCAGTTAATAAAATTATTGATGAAAATGCTTTGGGATCAACTATTTTTATATCAACAAATAATTACCTGAAGTTGGTACTTTTGTCCCCCTGTAAAAATTGTGGGTGCCATAAAATCAATGAGAAGAAGTGGCTGGTGAGATCATATGGACTTTATCTGAATGTTACCATTTATTGTCTTAAATGCAAATTCTCATCAGAATTATGTAATGAATCAAGTGACATGAATTATTCCAAAGCAATTTCTGCAACAGGATTGATTGCTGGATTAAATCAAGAAGAACTAAGAACTGCATTGGCCTTTATGGGTGTTACATCACAACCATCAAGAGCTTCTTACTGGCAATATCAAGGTCAACTTTTTGATAAAATTGAAAAAATGGCAGATGATGTTGTAAATCTAGCCTTAATTAAGTCCATTGAAAAGGTTAAAAATGAAGGCAAAAAATCATTGTGTTGTGGGTTTGATGTTTCTTGGACACATGTCAGGAATGCTTATCAGGCTAGTGGCGAGCTAATCTTTGATGGATTTGTGGAAGGAATGAGTCATAAGCCAGTTATTGTATACTCAATTTGTGAAAAACCTCGTATTGCAACTAAAGATGGTGAAAAAGTTGTTGTCCATGAAGGTAATTTTGAAAAGAGTTCTAAACAAATGGAACATCAAATATTAATTGATATTTTGGATAAGATTACACCTATTTTAGTAGAAAATGATGTTTTGCTTGAAGTTGCTGTAGATGGAGATCTTGATAGTAATAAAACACTTGCTTCCTATGGAATTGTAAAACAAATTTATGCTGACTTAAAGCATAAAACAAAAACTATTAGAAATCATATAAAAAATCAACAAAATAAGAGGTGAAAAGATTTTGAACAGGTGATATTAGATTACTATACAAAATGTGTATATGAAGCAACTAGATTAAAGGAGGATTATGAAAATAAAATGAAAGAACAAAAAATTGACTTATCATTTCCACCAGATAATGATGCTCTGCATCAGGTTCAAACAGTAGGTTTATTTAAGCATCTGTGTGATGATCATAGTAATTGCTGGGAAAAAGTTTGCTGGCATGTTAAGAATCCAGAATTGGATTTGAAAACACCCAATCTAAAAACCTATTCTGATAAAGAAAAACAAGAATTCAAAAAGATGTTAATAAATGTCATTAAAAAACCAATTCAGACTACATTAATCACTTCAACATGTACCTGTCAGAATGAGTCTATGAATCATGTCAAGCTAATGTTCCTTGACAAAAAAATAGATTACTGGAAATCATTTAAAACTCATCATGCTTTA